TCTGCACCAGCTGCAGCCTCCAAATCTGTGCCAAAGGCAGCCCCATGTAGAGAGCGTTGCAGTAGTCTAGCCTCGAGGTGACCGTCGCATGGATTACTGTAGCCAGGTTGTCGCGGTTGAGGAAGGGGACCAACTGCCGAACCAGCCTAAGATGATAAAATGCTGATCTGGCAGTGGCTGCCACCTGGGCCCTCCATAGTCAGGGAGGAATCCAGGCACACTCCCAAGCTCCTAACCTCTGATGTTGACACCAATGGTGCCCCATCGAAGGTCGGGAGAGGGATCCCTAACCCCGATCCGTTCCGACTCAGGCACAGGACCCCCGTCTTTGCTAGGTTTAATTTCAGCCGGCTCAGCCTGAGCCACTCAGCCACTGCCTGTAATGCCTGGATCAGATCTTTTGGGTCAGAGCCCGACTGGCCGCCCAACATCAGATAGAGCTGGGTGTCATCTGCATATTGATGGCAACCCAGCCCATACCTCCTGGCAATCTGGGTGAGGGGGCGCATGTAGATGTTGAACAACATCGGGGAAAGCACTGCCCCCTGAGGCACCCCACACTCAAGTGGGTACCTCTGGGACTGCTCCTCCCCTATCGCCACCCTCTATCCCCGACCTTGGAGAAAGGAGGCAAGCCATTAAAGAGCGAGCCCCTATATCCCCATGTCGGCGAGGCAGTGGGTCAGCAACTGGTGGTCGACCATATCGAACACGGCCGACAGATCTAACAACAACAGTGCCGCCACACTGCCTCGATTCAGATGCCTCCGGAGGTCGTCAGTAAGGGCAACCGGCACCGTCTCTGTCCCATGACCCAAGCAAAAGCCAGACTGAAATGGATCAAGGACAGAAGTGTCATCCAGAAAGCTCTGAAGCTGTGTCGTCACTGCCCTCTCAATCAATTTGCCCAAATAGGGCAAATTGGACACCAGCCGATATTTGGCCAATTCGGCCGGGTCTAGAGTTGGCTTTTTCAGGAGAGGGCGGACCATCGCCTCCTTGAGTGCCTCAGGGAACCGTCCCTCCGAGAGGGACTTGTTGATAATCTCCCTTATGGCACCTCGAAACCCATCATGGCCCACTTTGATGAGCCAGGAAGGGCACGGATCCAGGCAGCATGTGGTTGGGCGCACAGTTGCGAGCAGTCTGTCAATTTCCTCCAGACTGAGCAGGTCAAAACATTCTAAACTCTGCGGAGACACGCAAGGGGCCTCAAGTTTGCTCACTGTTTCAATTGTGGCCAGGAGGTCACGGCGGACCGTCAAGACTTTATCTGCGAAATAGCTCGCAAAAGCCTAACAGCCAATATCCAATTCCCTACTAATTTGTCTGCCTTGTGGCAGAGCTGTCAAGGACTGAATTGTTCTAAATAATTGGGCTGGGCGTGAGCTAGCAGACGCAATCTCGGCTGCATAGAACTCTCTCTTAGCAGCTTTGACTGCCATCTCATAGGATCTCATAAATGTCCTATAAGATGTTCTTGATGCTTTGCCGTGAACTCGCCGCCACCGTCTCTCTAGCCATCTTAACTCTTGCTGCATAAGCCGCAACCCCTGGGTATACCAAGGGGCAAGCCTAGAGCGAAGGCACAGAGGGCGCCTGGGAGCGATCTCGTTGATGGCTGTGGAGAGTCGGTCATGCCAGTCCTCCACAAGCTCATCCAATGAGCTGCTAGGGGGCATCGGATCCCGCAGAGCCATCTGAAGCCGTACTGGGTCCATTTGGCTTCGCGGGCGAGCTAAAACAGGGTTGGGGTGGGACATTCAGACGAGTCTTCAGGGCAAAGTGGACCGACCATGGTACTGCTAATGCCAACAATGCCCTTCAGCTCTCTACATAGGGCAAACAGGTCAAACCCTATGCCAAAGGATAAATGAACACCAATCTGACATCAAGAATCACAAAAACGGAGAAACCTGTAGCGGAACATTTCAGTCTCCCAAGGCACTCAATGGGGGACCTCAAAGTGGCTGTTTTATTGCACAGGAATTTCAGAAACAGACTGGGAGATTGCTGAATTACAAGTTATTACAACACTCAGGACAATGGAACTCCCAGGGCTTAACAGAGATATCGGGTTCTTATCTCACTACACATGCTGTCACTCAGTTCTCACTTATACCCAGAATTAAAGTTTGTTGGTCTTAAAGATGCCGCTGGACTCAAACTTAGTCCTCACATTTGTTTAACTCTTTTATTGTCTAAAAATTTAGGGTCCAATGGCACTTTTAAGACCAACAAAAGTTTATTCAAGGTATGAGCTTTTGTGTGCATGCACACTTTATCAAATATCAGTATTTGATAAAGTGTGCATGCACAAGAAAGCACATACCTTGAATAAACCTTTGTTGGTCTTAAAAGTGCCATTGGACTCTAGATTTGTTGTACTGTTTCAGACCAACATAGCTGACCAACTGGATCTTTTATTGTCTGTATGCTAATTTGCTGCTATTCACAAGTCTTACCAACTGCTTTAATCCAGTGTTAGCTATACTTATTACTCGATTACTTATGCATCTTGACTCCTGGCACCTGCTCTCTCTCTACCTATGTGTAATGGTTGAGGAAGACTTGTTTCAATGTATCTGAAGTATGCATGCACACAAAAGCTTACACCCAGAATTAAACTTTTTTAGCATTAAAGGTGCCACTGAACTCAAACTTTGTTGCTCCAGACCAACATGGCTACCAACCTGAATCAATGTAAATTTGCAATATGATCTCTAGTGCCTTTTCTGAATCCAACTTGAACATCTGACATTTCTCATTCCATATATTGTAACAGTTTTTGTTGTAAGATTTTGAGCATTGCTTTACTCACATATGAAATTAATGCGATGGTCTGATAGTTGCTGCAGTCTTTGACATCTCCTTTTTTGGAAATTGGAATGTAGACCGACCGTTTCCAGTCTCTGGACCATTGTTTTGTTTTCCATATTTGTTGGCATATTCTTGTTACAATTTTGATGAATTCAGTTTCTGTGACTTGGAATAGCTCTGTTGATAAACCATCTTGTGATTTGTTTCTCCCGGTTGCTCTCAGTGCAGCTTTCACTTTGCTTTCTAAAACTGCAGGTTCTTCTTTGAAGGAATCTGTCATCCTTTCATCTCTTCTATATAGTTCTCATCTTTATTTTGTCCTGTACAGTTGATATATTTCAGTGTTGATCTTTCAGCATGCCTAATTGTGCTTTAATTTCCCTTTAATTTTTTTAATCTTGTGAAAGGGATTTCTTGTTCTTTTTTGTTCTCTTCTATTCCTTTGCACTGGTTTATTATAATAGTTATAATTATAGGAGGAGCAATTTGGAATCCCCACTTATGTGTGAACTTTAAGATCAACAAAGGTGCCACTGGACTAAGACTTTGTTCTGCTGCTTCCCACCTGAATGTAGCAACTTGATTGTTAGATACAGTGTATTATTGCACTATTAAACTGGAGTAGGAAAAGCCCCCAAATCAGGTATGTGCACAGCCTTCACTTGACTTTACTCCTGTACAATAGAAGTTACTTTAGTCCTTACCATACCTCCTATGAGGAGAATGTCTCAGCTTGAACCAAATAAGCCTTTCTAGCTGGTGGACAAAATAGTGCAAAAGAAATGTGCAAGCTTTTGAGCTTTCCAAAACTCTTCATCCAGCTGAATGTTTAAATAAAAAGGGTAGGAGACACCCCACCCCCCCGAAGAGTATTATGGGCTTGGAAGGTGTTGGGTGCTCTAGGCACAGTTGGTGTCAGGCACCCCTCGCCTTCTGGGAGGAAGGAGCTGAGAATAATGACAACCTCCACTGTGAATATAAGAACACATGGATATAAGAAGAATATCAGACGACAGATCTTCTTTGTGGAAGGAAGGCATACGGTATGACTTGCTTGAGAAGAGTCCTCTCCTATGGGATTTTCCTTATTCCAGGATAAAGGACTAAGTATAAGAGGAATATTGATGTCATCTTCTCCTTCTGTTTTAGCATCACTCTATCCTAGGGACATAGGGCTGGTTAGCAAATGAACTCCAGAAAATTATCCCTAATTACTTTTGTATGGCATTTTATGACACTGGAAAAATGCAGTGTCATCTTACACTAGACAACATGTCAAAATTCATTTCTGTTTGGCAAAAGAAGTAGATGTTTTAAACCAGAACCCAGTTATTTCCCTCTACTGGAAACATAAGGACATAAGAGCCCTGCTGGATCAGACCAATGGTCCATCTAGTCCAACATCCTGTCTCGCACAGTGGCCAACCAGTTCCTCTGGACAGCCAAAAACAGGGCATAGAGGCTGAGATGTTCCCCGATGTTGCCTCCTAGCTCTGAGATTCAGAGGCTTAGTGCCTCTGAATGTGGAGGTTCCCCTCAGTCACTATGGCTAGTAGTCACTGAAAGACCTATCCTCCATGAATATATCTAATCCCCTTTAAAAGCTGTTTATTCCTTTGGCCATCACTACATCCCCTGGCAGCAAATTCCACATTTTAATCACACTCTATGTAAAGTAGTATTTCCTTTTGTCCATTCATTCTGAACCTACTGCCCATTAGCTTCATCGGATGCCCTCAAGTTCTAGTATTTTGGGAGAGGGAGACAGGGAAAATGAGTTTAGGCTGGATTTAGCATAAAAGTAGCTTTCCATAGTAAGCTTGTAGATTACACTCAGTTCTGCAGAAGTATGCATTTTGATAGCTGATATTGAACAGATGTGGAAGGAAGCAATAATGCACAAAAGGTGGCAGATTTCCATGTATTTACATTATTTAATAAACTGATAAATGTGCAACAGATTTTTCTTTCCTTGTTTTGAAAAAAATGCAATGAAAATGCAATATGCTAGCTGTCAAATTCAGACAGACAATTTTAATCCTGTCCTTAAAATTTCCTGTTCACCCATTGCCAGCAATGGACAAGCCATAACAGTTGGAGCTGAACGGCATTTGTGGTTGATAATGTCCTATGTGGTTTGTTTGCTTCATTACTTGTCATGTAGTACAAATTTCAACAGGTCATGAAAAAAGCACAATGTTTAATAAAAACTATAGTTCAAATAAAAACAGCTGTACATATCAGATATGAACATTACACCAACAAAATTGGCTAGGAGCACAAATCCTAATGGCATTCTTAAGGCTAAATACATCTGTTTGCCGGATATGCGTTCTTCAGCACCTTATTCTAATTAGTATTCTTCAGCTGCAGAATTCATGCTTTCAATCAGTTTTAATCTGTTCCAAACATTCCTGAGGATCTGAAACTGCTAACAAAGCCATGCGTTGTCTTGTAAGGGGATCAAGTTATGCTGTGCAAACAGCTCAGGCACCATGTTTGCTCAGAATGTTTAAAAATGAAACTTCCATTTTTACAAACACCATGTTACAAGGAGCCTAAATTGTATACTGTAGCATAATACAAAAATACCATTTTTATTAGAAATCATTTTAAAAGAAGTACATAAGAAACCAGCATCATGTGCTTAAAATATTTATCCAGGCACTGTACAAGACCTTCACCGTAACCATACAGTGTTTAGCTGTGTCTGGTTTTTTATGCTTGTGTCCATTTTTAGTACTTCTCGAATGGCCATGGTAGCATATGTGGAGGGAGGGAGGGAGAACTCAATCTTCAGAGCCTTGTATTTTCCTTCTGTGATAAGTAAGCCAAAGATCCATTAAGAAATCATACAAAGACTTATATATCTCTGCAGTCCTGATGTGCTAATTTCCTTCCAAAAAGTAGCACCAACATCAACCAGGTTTTATCAGTTGTTTACTATAGTGATGTTGAAGTGATGTAATGTTAAACATGCACTGAAGTGCCCTGCCTATTCATGTCCATGTGATCTCACTTTGTTTTAAGGTTGTGAAGAGATCTCCAATAATGCCAATAAGCCTATTAAACAAAAGAGATTGCAGAAAACACCCTACTCTCAGTATCCCATAAGAAACACCCCCCCCCCATGGCTAGAAGGATCTTTAGAGAGAGTTCTATAACCCACGCCATCTATTGGAATTCCACAGGCCTATGGTGCAGACTCCCTCCCAGGATCTGATCTGGATGACAATCCACACCCCAGAACTATGAAAAAGACAGAATACTTGTTCTGTGGGCAGTCTTATCAATGAGGATACATGCGATTAAAAATGGCCCACTGACAGGGAATCTTCCTCAATACACTCACACTGGCTTCTTTGTCACTTTTTTTTTTTTAACTATAAGTGTTAAACTCATCAGTGGAAGATGCTTGCAGGAATAGCAAGAGTGAAGGGAGTGCATCTCAGCCTCACATGCTCTTATCTGTGGCATCGGACTAAGCTGGTTTCCAGTTCAACTTTCTTTCAGAATCTCACTTTTGAAAAGATTTATTTTGAAAGGTTTCAGCCTCCCCCATCTGAATTGCTGCTTAAAGTGGAACTTCTAATCTGTCAACCAATGATGACTTTGGAAACAATATTGAACCATCATAATATGCCACATAGATACTAGGACACATTTGTATTCTTACCTGTGGCAATAACTGCAGGTGGTTTTCCTTCCAGTTTATCTAAGTCAGTATTAAACAATGGGATTTTAGGATCATCATAAGCAACCATCTCCCTTTATTAAAATAGAAAGTCAGTTTTAAAATACGCTTGGATATGGCAAGAATCGTGTGTGTTAGAGATTATCATGTTAGGGTAATACCAGTCTAGAACGCTATCAGATGTAAACAAACATAACAGTAAAGACAGATCCTCCAAAGCACTCAATTTTCAAAGCTGAAATCCACATATATAGTACTTCTCAATTTCTCAAACTCTTCGGAAATAAAGATCCCACCACTCCATCTCATTTTTACATATTGATTCTAGAGAACATCTATCTTTTTCTTGCCATCAGTCAAGCTGACTTCTCGTGACCCCTAGTGGGGCTTGAAGGCAAGGGACATTCATAGGTGGCTTGCCATCGCCTGCCTCTGTATCACGACCCTGGTATTCCAAGGAGGTCTCCCATCCAGGTCAGGGCTAGTGGGCATCTCTGAATGATATTCCAAAACACTTTGAGCATCATAAATCTGCCCAAAGACTGGGCCAGAAAGGAGATGGACTGACAAGATTACTGATTGTCTTACTTTCTGTTGAAGCAGCCAACAGATGGGTAGAGAAAAGATGGGGATGTGGGGGCAACCAAAATGGCTCCTGACCACCTTTGTGAGGTTGGAATGGTGCAGACAGCACAAAGGAGGAACCAGAGACAGAATGGTTGTCTGCAAACCCACTTCCCCCTTGATATGAGGCCATTAGGAGGAGCAGACACAGGGCCAAATAGGTGGAATTAGGGTGGGGCTACAACATCTACACCCTTCACATGGGAATGTCATAGTTTAGCATATTAGATGCCATGCTCCATCATCACATGTGATGTGGGTGCAGAAATGTTGTCTTTTGATGCTTCCCAAGTTTCTGTTTATTGATCTCCAGCATATGCTTTGATGGGGCCTGGCATATCCTAGATTAGGCACACCAGAGGGCTTCATACACCCTCTAGCAGACAGCAATCCGATCTGTTTCAAAAACAGTCACATGGCTTGCAACCCCCAAGTCCTCCTATGCGCCCACACGAAACCACTTGGTTCTCTGGATCCTGGCTATTATATGCTTACCAGCTGACATTCTGAGGTCGAATTATAATCTTTCTGTATGCGCCAGATAATGAGTAGTCTCTAATTTTGTGTTTCATGTTGTTGATATCAAGATTATCAACTGCCAATATTTCCCCGTAAGCGTCTCCAACTGCAATAAAGCATACATATTTACATATTGGATGGAATTTAGCACAACCAGTTGCAACCAATTAACTTCTGTCCTTTTAAGATTTTCTTGGAACTGCTGATTTATCTACTCAATCTACTCAAAAGGAGTGAAAGGCTGCGATCACACACACTAAATAATCCACTTTCAATCCACTTTCAACCCACTTACCAACTGGATTTTTCCTGTGTGAACTGGCAAAATCCAATCTGAAAGTGCATTGAAAGTGGGTTGAAAGTGGATGTGGTTTTTTTATGCATACATGTTTATTTACAAAAAATCTACTGCCTAACCAAACTCAAATGAACATTACTGGCTTCTTTGGACATAACTTGCTCCTACACTCTATTTACAGTGATATTGGTGACCAGTTCTTTGCATGCACTCTATCTACACCATCCAACCCTGATCATACATAGACAGCAGCTATTTGTTTATTTAGGTATTTATATACGCTGCTTTTCTTCCCAATGGGAACCTAAAACAGCTTTTGTCATTCTCCCCTCCTCCACTTTATCCTCACAACAACACATCTGTGAGGTACTTTAAACTAAGACAAAGAAAGTCGCTGGCCCCAGGTCACCTGACAACACTTCCATGGTAGAGCAGGGATTCAAACCATGGTTTCCCTAATCCTAGTCTGATAATATTCTAACCAATGTATACCACACTGGCTGTCTATCAAATGGAAATCCCACTCTGTCTTCAACATAGGTTCTCCCTGGTCCTGCAATACAGAATCCACTTTCAGCAACCCAAATCTCTTTCAAAGGAGCTGTACATATGATGAGGGAGTGGTGTAGAGGGAAGCATGTAAATTTATAACACACCTCTGATCTCCCTGTATGCAGAGATTCAGTGGGAGAAGAAGCTACTACAAAGATATTTCTCCACATCCCAAGCTTTAATCCAAATAGCGTTCCTATGTAAGGAGGAACAATTACCTTTCGTAGTGCACTAACCACCCATACTTCTCAACTTTGCAATGTTAGTTACCCTTTAATTTTGTTTTTAAATGGGGTTAGACTAGGTTTACCATGACAGTATCTTGTAACTTAACTCCAGGCTTTTACCACAATTTTGAGCCATTCGTTCATTTTCTGTTATACTGGGTGATAAGATACATGTCATAAAAAGGAGTGCTTTTTCATATGACCCAGGCAACAAAACACACATCCAAAACCTAGCCAAATCTTCCACATCAGCAAGGGGCAGAAAAGTTCTTACTTTTATGCTTTGGATAGATTACATCAAATCCAGGCAAGGGCATCACCACATCATGGATGGTGTAATCGTCAACATTTGCTTCTTCGATATAAACAGCGGTACCTCAAATATATATATTTTTAAGTCATTTTCTAGTAACATAGTTTTTGCTAAATATTCCCCCCCCAACACTGCAGAAGGAATAGGATTCAACTGCATAAACAACCGTTAAAGAACAGTTTTCATCATTAAATTTTAACTCCATCATCATTTATTTAGAATTTCAGACACAAGTTTTTGAAGCCTGTCAATGAACACATTTATCCATAAATGTATAACTATCAAAGGGGGGGGGGTGAGATTAAAGATTTATAGATGTT